TAAACCTAAAAGGCCATGTTCCTTATTTATGATAAATAATTCATTGTCTCCCCTATTGCTTCCTGAGCTTTGGAAGTAAATGTCAGAGAGATTGACTGTCAGGGCCTTAAAATGTTAGTCTTTCAGGATTTTCTGAAATTCTCGAGTTGGTACGAGTAGAGATTGAGCTGCCCTGTGTGAGTTCTGGGAGGCTGGCCATATTCAGGCTTTTAGGCATAATAAAATTTGTGTGCCTTTAATTCTGTATTGGATTTCCTGGTGTGAGAGCTATTTTAAAATGAAGAACTTAAGGAAAAAAATACATATTGAGTCAGAATGAACGAGAGTGCATGTACATCAGGAATCACATTATCTAACTGTGGACTGGCTGGGAGGATCATAGTTTCTTAAGAGATATTCTGAGTTAGAATCTTAATGACTCTGGCCATAATATTACACAGTTGCCATTCATCAGTTACCTCCTGAGTTCTGTGCTCAGCATTGCAGTAGATTACTTTTATCAGTAGTGACTCTATAAAAAAGAGGCAGTTTTGTGTTTATTTTTCACATTGGAAACTGAGGCTCAGGAGAGATTTGATCCCAGGTGGGTCCCGCTCCAAGCCAGCATTCTCTGCAGAGCACAGATTGTCTCTATTAATGTGTCTAGAGCTGACCATTTCTTATCCGTGCCTCAGGGGTATGTGATTCCGTAGAAGCATTTTTGATTGGGGATAAGGAAACCCCATTCCAGTTCTGCATGCTTAGCAGCTGGCCCTGGAAAATGTGCCATGCCGCTTGAACTGTTGTGCCGCTGTTTCTTTTCCTACTGAGGACATTCCGTTGGTTACATCCATCTCTTCAGGTTTTTATGAGGATAAAATGAGATGATAGCTGGGAAAGTGCGAACTTGAGTGATACACAAATAAAGGGCGTCCGTTATTAAATTTTTGATAATGTTGGGCTATTTTTTGCATGAATGCTCATGTTGTGTTTTGATTAAATTAGAGATCTTTTGGCTGATTCTCTGTCCCTTGCCAGTTTTTGGCCTTGGATCTGCAAGGGTGATTTTCTGACAAAGAGGAATTTGTCCCGAAACTATGGATTTAGAGCAGGGTTAAGAGGCACTGTGGCTCAGCACTTCCTTCCTGTTGGAAGCTTGGGATACAGGAAATGGTTTCTTCTATCATCAAACAGTGGATCAGTGTGTACTTATTAATTGTATCTACTCGAGCTCTGTTCAAGACCCTGTGGGACCCAAGAATTAAAAGGCCAGCTCAGACCTCAGGGTTTGTAATGAAAGGTGGGAAAAGATAGAAACACATAGGGAGTGGTATGGGCGCATACACACCCCATGTGTGTGTGGCTCACACTGTAATTCCAATCAAGCTGTGGGAATGGTCATCCTGTTCACTTAGCTGGGAACACCTCGTGGAGGAGGCACTGAGGTCTTAACTGGACCTTACATGTCAGGATTTGAACTGGGGCTTCGTGTCTGATTGGTGATGAAGGAGGTGGTCATAGGTGGGGAGAACAGTACAGGTAAGTGAAAGGAGACAGGGATTATCTGTGTATATTTGGAGAGGTCTAGAAAATTGCCCTGAGCAGTCAAGGAGGAGGAAGGAGGAGGTGGAAGCACTCTGTGTGTGTATGTCAATATGTTAGGGTTGGATCACATGCTCAAAGACCTAGAAGGCCAGGCCTGAGAGTTGTGGGCAAAGTCATTCAGAATGATTGAAGGTTCTAGAGTGACTGAATGACAGATTAGGGATGGAGGCAGAGAAAGCCCAGAACAGGAGGCTGGAATCTGGACACCATGTGCAGGCATCTGGGTGGTGAGATTGCTGTGTGAACAGAGAGGGGATTTACTGGTGAGACATCTTTAAAGCAAAGTCCATAGAGTTCAGTGACAGATTAATTAAAGGAATTCAGAGGGAGGAAGAGGAATTAAAGTTAACTCCACTGAAATGTTTTGATTTAGAGGTTACATGATTTTCCTTGCCCAGTTCCAAGACTCTTAGCTCTGCTGTAAAATGTGGGTAGTTGACAGTAGCAACTCATTTTCAGAGCTTAAATTATTCAAGTTCGTTTATGAATATTTCATTTTTAGCCAGCTAATTGGTCTTGAGGCTCTGAATTATGGATGCAGCAAGCTGGAAGATTAGTTTTGTCACCATCGTGTTTGAGGTTTTCCAAAGCTTTCAGGCCGATTTTATTTATTCCTTGCCGTGGAATTAATTGTGCACTGCTCATCAGTTTAATTCACCCAGATTTGCTGGCTGCCTGCCGTGCAGGGCACCAGGTTAGGTGCTGAGGGGGATAAAGAGTAATCAGGACAGGGACTCTGCCTTCGAGGAGTCTCCAGTCTGGGGGAAGGGAAACTCGCTGTACCTCATGCTGTGCTATGCTCAGATGAGTGCAAACACTGCGGCTCTGTGTGCTCCACTGTGTCTGTGTAGAGAGAACACTGGGTACCCGTGACAGTAAGTTTGCCAGAATCAAGGGCACAGTTCTCCTCAACATGACCAAGTCCACCGAAGACTCATGATACCATTCACAAGTTTGGTGGGTCTCCTGGGCCACCCTTTCTTCTTTCTTATTACTGCAGATTTGGAAGTTCCCTGCGGCCTCTCTCAGCTTTGATAATTTGCTAGAACAACTCACAGAACTCAGGAAAGCTCTGTCCTCGTGATTATAATTTGATTCTACTCAAAGGACGCAAATCAGAGAGCCAGTTAAGGGAAGAGAGGTCTGTGGGCAAAGTCGCAGACTGGGAAGTTTCCCGATGTAGAGCTTTTGGTCCCTCCATGGAGTCCTGAGCAAAGTGCCTCTCTCCTAGCTACAATGTAGGCCAGCACTTGGGAGTATTTCTAATCAGGGGAGCTCACTGGAACTTTGGTATCCCAAGTTTTATTAGGACCCCACGACACACTGCCCGCATGCTGCCTTTTAGTCCCTGTCTCTCCTGTAGGTTTTGACCAATGCCTTTAATTTTCCCAGGTCCTCATCATAAATCCCATTGTTTGTCTAGTGGCCAAAGTCCCTGGGCAAACAAAGATGCTCCTATCAGGAGGGACATCTGGGGGCCTAGAAATCACCTCCTTGTAGCCAAGGGCAAAGGCCAGACTTCTCTTTGGGTAAAGTTAATTCTTCACTACACAACGGCATTCCAGTAGAGCATTTCAGAGGAGTAGCTTGTGTCTGCGGGAGGGCAGAGTCTGTCACTGGGGTTAGACCTGGGCCACAGACTTCAGTCAACAGTTAGGCGCCCTGTTTCTGGAATTCCACTGACATGACACGAGGTGGGTGTTTTATAGCCTCTGTTAATTCTGCTTCTCTGATACTAATTGCTCCTTCAGTAGGTTGTGCGAGTACACATTGGTGTGAAGAATAATAAGGAGAAAAGTTTTAAAGAGTCTGAGGAAAATGATTTGTTCTCACTCTGTACCATCTATTTCTTCCGTCTCTTCTCCTGTGCACACGGACTGATTTTCCTAAAAACATAGCCTTTGTTCTCCTTGTTTAAATCTAGGGAAGACTCCCAGGACCTGTGTCCCTTGTTTTATCTGGTTTTCCCTCCTATCATTAAGTACCTTGTCATCCCTTGTTGTCCCCTCCCCACCATGCCCCAGAGAGATAGAGTGAAGGCAGGAATCTCGCTGGCTGCCCTGGTGCGGGGCTCTGGTTTGCATCTTTCAGCCAAGGCTAACCCACTCACCAGCGGCATTGTATTTCAGTTGAAGCTCTGTTCCAGCAAGGGCACTCCTTTCCCAGCAAATCTCTTGCCTCATTCATGCTCGATCTCCCTAAGGTCTTGGGAATGCCATACCCAGGCAGGCTCCTTTGTCCAGATTCTCTGTGGTCAGGCTGTTATGTCCCTGCAGACTCTGCCCCAGACTGTCCTGCCCATCTCTGCTCCCCTCTGCCCCTGTGGCCTCTCTCTCTGATTTGTGATTACAAGTGACTTTTTACCTGTCCTCATTGTTGTAGCAGTAGATAAAGCAGCTGGAGTCTTACTGTGCAGAGCCACAGCTTTAGAGAGAGCAGGAAGGGAGCTGAGAAACACCCTGATTCTGCAGATGCATGTGTACCCAAGATGGTATGAGAATCTAGGACTCCTTTCTCTGCCTTAATGCTCAGGTTCAAAGTGGGTTGCTGAAATGCCACACCTTCGCCAGACAGATGGCTGGCATTGGAGATGTTAGCTAGGCTGCTGGGTCTCTGGTTGGCCTTGCTCAGGGACGTCTCTCAAGTCTCGTCTTTGAAGACCATACCCCTCCACCTTCACACAACGGGATGAAATACTTTCCTTCCTGCCCTGCTCACCCCTCTTAATTCCTACCTTCATTCCAGAGATGAATGCCTTAAAAATTAACACTAATTGAGAGGAAATACAAGTTGTAAAATGATTTAAAACTTGCTCTAAAGCAGCTGTGATCATGCCTTTGAAAATCACTAGGTTGCTAGGAAACTGTAAAAATATTGTTATTGTTCTTAGTCCTATAATTTATGGCTTTAGATTGTAATTACTTTTTTTCTTGCCAGGACAATTTGACTCTAATAATTATGACTCCTTGAAATAATCTGAATAGTTGTGTAACTCATTAAGGGCATGACAAGCTCAGCAGCCTTTGAGAACACTTTGCAAAGAAGTTCCTAAGCAGTTTCTGAGAACTGGATTTCAGTGGAAACAGTGCTTCACAAGGGGCAGGATTTGTGAGTAGGGGGTTAACAGCTCCAACTTCAAATCCTCCCAGCATCGTTGAAGAAGGATGTACAGAGATGCTGATAAACTGATTGCCTTGAATCAGAACATTAGAAAATTGTATACCCACTAGTACACAGATGCAATGATATTAGCACCAAAGATAATCGTTTGCAGCTGTTAATTTCTGGAATCACCTCACATTTTTCATTTTTAATAAAATGTGAAACCTGAACATAGCCTCACACTTGGAGGGTGAACGTGAGCCCTGCACTGCTGTCTCATGTGACTCCATTGTGCCTTCTTGTTTCCTCGGTAGAGTTTTTGGTCATGAAGAGGAAGAGAGGCAGGCCTAAGGGGTCCACGAAGAAGCCCAGCACAGAAGAGGAACTGGCAGAAAACATCGTGAGTCCAACAGAGGACAGCCTGCTGGCTCTGGAGGAAGCGAACAGCCTGCCTCCGAGCAGCCTGGAGTGCAGCAAGTGCTGTCGAAAGTTCTCCAACACGCGCCAGCTGCGGAAGCACATCTGCATTATCGTGCTGAATTTGGGTGAGGAGGAAGGAGAAGCAGGTAAATGCTGCCAAAGGGCTGTACATGTCAGTTTCCTATGAAGAGGTGTATCTGCTAATATCAGGTTTCTCTGGGTCGGTTATTACCTGGAAATAGCGTGTATTTATTCAGTTCTCATCCATCTGGAAAAGTGCTTATTTTCCTAATGATGACTGACTATTGCTGTAAGTAATCTTTGAAGTGACGTGTCATCTGGGAGTTGTTGCCCATGGCATGCAGGTCAGGGGGCTGCTTTGCTAGATGCTTTGAGGGCTGCAGGGATGGTAAAAAGCAGCTTCTACCTTTGCTGAGCTTCTGTTCTGGGAAAGAAGACAGGGTTGTAAATGCATTGTGTTAATGGGTAACAAATTGTCAGCAGGAGAAAGCATTCTGATGGAAAGTCAGGAACGAATCTGGTGTCACAGTTTGGGTGGCATTGAATTTAAGGAAGGAGGGACGTCTTAGTGGATGGATGGGGCCATGTGGGCCGAAGTGTGGAGATGAGGATCCTCAGGGCTCCTGTGAGGGATCTTGACTGGCCGGCGGTGGCCGGGGACTAGATTTTGGTGGGCATACTTGAGGAAAATAAAGACTATTGGGTGTTTCCTTCAGGTTCTTGACTAGGCTTCAGCTCTGAAGTAGCTTCTGAAAGAGGCTGAAATGCAGATGAATGTGAGCAGGGAATGAAGTCACTGTGGGGTAGCTTGTCTGCAGATGACTTTCACAGGAAGAGTGAAATAGCAAGGCTGTACCAGAGCGGTAAGGGCCTCTGCTGTGGTTTCTGTTGTTGTTGGGTCCTTGTGCCATTTTTAAAGCCTTCAAACTGTACCCTGTGTTAAGTTCTCTCTGTTTTGTTTTGTGCTAAGCATGTTACGCACTTCTCATTAAGAACATAGGCTCTGGGTTGTGGCTGTCTGGGTTTGTATCCCAGCTTCAGCACTTAATTAACTTCATTTTGCCTCAGTTTCCTCATCTGTAAAATCGGAATAAAAGCATTACTGTCTCCTATGGTTACTTTGAAGATGAAATGAGATAGGACTTGTAAAGTACTTATAGCACTACCTGCCATATCAAAAGCTCCGAGTAAATACTGGCTATTACAGTGAGCTGCTATAGCCACGTGGATCCAGTACTGCTGTCATCCTTCCTGCTTCACCAATAAGGGCGTTTAGACCCTGAGAGAGTGCATGATTTGTCTAGGGTCCTTTAGTTAGTAAGGGGACCTGGCCTTTGAACCCAGGCCGTCCTACTCTGAACCCGTATTCTTAAATTCTTCACTATAAATGCCTCCCTACAATGAGCAAGACTCTTGGTTTGCAAAATCCTATCATAGTTCAGAAGAATTATTGAGTAACGCATTGACAAATATTTATGGAACATCTAGGTTGGTGGCCAAGGCTCATTGCCAACATCTGTACAAGTTGTAGAAAATACCAGACACTGTTCCCTCTCATAAAGAACTCTCAAGGCAATGATGTAAAACCTTGCGGGGTTGCACAGGCTCATGAAGATAACCCATGAGGATCAAAGAAGGTGGAGCTGTCCCTAGATGGAGCCTGAGTAATTGCCATGTGAGAGCCGTAGGCCGTGAATGCTGTCATTTCAGAATAATCCGCATCATGTTTCAGAACCTAAAGTCCTTTTGGGAAATAAAGACAATTTTAGAAATGAGATAGTTCAGAGAGGAAGGATTAGGATGGACTCCCCTGAACCTGAAGCTCTGGTTTCCAGTGATTTGTTAATCACTGCATTTGGGTTACAGAGTCTTTCCCTCACCCTCTTGTGCATGCATACATCCTCTCTCCCTGTCTCTCTCTTTCTCTCTCTCCCCGCGACCCCCGTCTCTCTCCCCCTCATCTCTCTCTCTCTCTGTCTCACATGCACACACATGCACGCCCCCTACTTTGGCACAGCTAGGTGACGGTGTTGCATTTTAATCAGTTCTAGCCGTCGAGGCAGCTCTGCTGTTTGTAGTTTCTGCACTGCCTGAGTTCTTCAGAGATTCTCTCCGATCATTTTGTGCTATCTTCTCAAGAATCCCTTTTTGTGTGTGTCTTTACAGAGTTTTTCCTGTCAGGCTTCCTCTGAGACACTCCTGGACTTTCTGCACAATTATGGCTAGAAATCAGACTTTGCTCTTTTGTAACACCAAATTTTTCTGCTTCTCATTCCTCCAGACCTCAGGTTGAGCTCTGAGTTTGAGACTCAATGTCAACAGCACAGACCCTGGAGGCTCAGAAGTTTATTTGGATCTATGGCTGTTCCCCAGTCTGCACTGCCTTTAGGGTCAGCTCTCTGAAACAGGGGTCCCCAACCCCTGGGCTGAAGGTTGGTACTGTTCTGTAGCCTGTTAAGAAGCAGGCTGTACAGCAGGAGGTGAGTGGCTGGCAGCGAGCATTACTACCCGCGCTCTGCCCGCTGTCAGATCAGCTGCGGCATTAGCGTCCCACAGGAGCATTAGCCCTATTGCAAACTGTGTATGCGAGGGAGCTGGGTTGCAATGCTCCTTATGGGAATCTAATGCCCGATGATCTGAGGTGGAGCAGTTTCATCCTGAAACACCCCACCCCACCATCTGTGGAAAAATTCTCTTTCATGTAGCCAGTCCCTGGTGCTAAAAAGGTGGGAGCCCGCTGCTCTAAAACACAGTGCCTTAGTGCTTCCCCATCACAGCAGCATGCAGAGCCATTCCCCGCGTGTTCAAGGCCCCCCCAAAACCACCTTCCCACGTGGCATCATTTGTCAGTGCTATAAAGTATTCTGTTGTTTGTACCAACCAGGGTACAATTGACGAAAACTTAAGTTTTCATCAGCTTTTCACTGTTGTAAATATTGCTTTAATAACCATTCCTATATGGGGTTGTGTATGTGTTAGCATATATACATATTGGTAGACTGTGTTATGAATTTTGTAGCATCAATTTCTAGAAGCAGATTGCTGGGTTGGAAAGTGTATTAATATTGCCAGTTTCTCCCCAGAAAGCTCACATCAACTTAGATTCCAAAGTGTCTGAGAATGCCTGTTGGATATTATCACTTTTGTTTGTTTCAGTTTTTAATACCTGTAATGAAACAGAAAATACTAAGAAAGTAAAAATATTCTAAAATTTCACTACCTGGGGACAATGTTACACTTCCTGAAAAAGAGAAGGCCCTCCTCCATTCTGTGTATACCCGTATGTATTTTTCAGAACTGAGATGATACATAATATTCTGTGATCTTTTTTCACTCACTAATGTGGCAGGGAAATTTTTTGTGACAATATTTTTTATTTAACAAGCTGTTTTCTAGCGTTTTTTTCCCTAGCGTTCTCAGTGTTTTACAACTAAACAGCCACTTTAATTCTCATGGTAACTTAAGGGGTAGGCATCATTTTTTTTTTTTTTTTAATCGAGATGGAGTTTTGCCCTTATTGCCCAGGCTGGAGTGCAATGGCGCATTCTTGGCTCATTGCAACCTCTGCCTCCCAGATTCAAGTGATTCTTCTGCCTCAGCCTCTCAAGTAGCTGGGATTACAGGCATCTGCCACCATACCCAGCTAATTTTTTGTATTTTTAGTAGAGACAGGGTTTCACCACATTGGCCAGGCTGGTCTCGAACTCCTGACCTCAGGTGATCCACCCATCTCAGCCTCCTAAAGTGTTGGGATTACAGGCATGAGCCACTGTGGCTGGTCAAGGAAGGCACTATTGTTATTCCCATTTTATAGAAGAAGAAACTAAGGCACAGAGAGTTTCAGCCATTTGCTTAGGTCACACAGGCCGTAAATGGTGGAGTTGGTTGTGAACCAGGTGGGCTGGCCCCAGGGTCTGTGCTTTTGATCGCTTTGCTGTGTGGTCTTACCCAAAACAGTGTTGCTTGTTGTCACTTTTAAAGGCTGTACAGCATTTCTTCATATGTACCGGCATACATCATTTCACTTCATTGGTCTCCAGTTGTTGGGCTTTTAGAATTGTGTTAAAATTTTCTCTCTGAAATTCCAAAAAAAAAACATTACTCAGGTGAACAGTCCTGAGCGTGCATTTTAAATTTTTTATTATTTTTTGCACTTGTGTCATTATTATCATAAAGAAATGACTAATAATTTGAAGCTTGTTAATTTTTTAATGAGCTGTTTTTCAGTGCTTTTTACTTTGCAGTTGCTGTTTCTCAGTATTTTATAGCTAATGGCTCTTTTAAATTCTCATAGCAGTTTAAGAGGTAGGCACTGTTGTTATTCCTATTCTATAGAAGAGGGAACTGAGGCACAGGTAGTTTCAGCAGTGTGCTTGGATAGATCACATAGTCTGTAAGTGTATCTTTTAGTTTTCTATGTAGCGTTGCTTTTTTTTTTTTCCTTTTGCATTAGGAAAATGCAAATAGGGCATATGTTACATTTTGCCAGGCATATATATTGTCAAACCGCCCTGCAGAATGTGCATATCAATTGTTTTCCCATCGTGGGCTCTGTCCTCAGATTGCCTGTATCCTTTTTATCCTGGGTTGTGTCAGCCTCTATCCTTACCGGTCTTTTTTGTGAATAGTTACTTTAATTGTTTTAATTTGCCCCTCTTTGGTCACTAGTGCACTGTCTCTGTTAACTAGTTATTAGTTATTTGTGTGATTGGGGGAATTCCTTTTTCATACACTTATACCTTTGAATTATCATACATGCTGAAAGTATTTTCTCCAGTTTGTCATTTGTCTTTTAAGTTTCTTTGTAGAATTGCTTTTTTTCCTTTTGAATTTTGCTGGAGTTTTAAATTTCAGTATTGTCGCCACTGTTTGTATGATATTGTCAAATGTATCTTTTGCATTTTTTGCCCTTTTTAGTGTAGTTTACAAAATTTACCTCATATCCCCCCCAATTTAAAAGAAGATGCTTCTATTTCTCTGTTATCTGTATGGTTTTATTTTATGCATATTTTCAATTCATTTGGACATTGTATTTTTGTTTTTTGTAAGTTGTGAAGTAAGGCAGTTATATAGTTGACTTTTTAACAACGTGGGGTTTAAGGGCTCCATCCCACTATCAGCAGTT